TGAAATATTCGCTGTCTATCTTTGCTAAATAGAATCAACTACACGATTCTGTCATTAGTTCCTGCTACACCAGCTTGGTACAATTACCTAGCAATAAAAAAAAAACAGTAAAGGCTTTCCTCAAAATTTAATTGGTTACGTCAAAAAACTACCAAAATGTTGTTAGTGCACCAAATTAACTTTCAAATGAAAAAGGCGTAAAAAAGTACAATTGTGCCTGCTTTTCCATCACTGATTTAATAAAAAAATATAAAAGCCTAAAAGTATGCTCTTAGCATATATATACATATGTGTGTGTGTTTTCTGGCGAATGGATAAAATATGGTAGGCTTACACCATTAGCATGGGTCGTTTTATTGATCGTTTTATTGGCTGAGATATTCGCCGCTTACAACGCAAAAAATCCTGCATATCTTCCGCAAAACATTTATCTTAAATAATCCAAGGACCGCCTCATTGAATGTTGTCATTGCCCACGCTTCTGCTCCATACCCCTGGTATGGGTATGCTGAGTGACTTATAGTATGGGCTTTTTGTACGATGAGAGAGAACCACTTCTCAGTAGCCTGCTCGTCCAACCTATGGCGATATGGTGTTACGTCTCTGCTACTCTAGGTGGTGGCACTCAACAAAGATGGAGTAAAGGTAGCAGCGTACGTACATGATGTAGTGGTGGCAGTAGCAGTTCCTTTCCTTTCGTAGATGGAAGCCCACTTAGACACGACTGTGCTGTCAGTTGTGATGCCCTTAAGAGAAGAGAGGGGTAGGAAAAGAGGTGGAAGGTAAGGGAGAGGGAGAACTAAGTTGTGTCCTTATAATGCGCTGAATGTGATTCTGCATTAACAGCCCATTGAACTCCACCTCCGAGCTGCCGATTGATGCGAACTATGCAATCAGCCTCAAAGAGTCAGGCTGCTGGAGAGCGCTGCAGATGGCCATGTTAGTGTTCAAGACAAGCTTTTTGAATCAGGGAAATAAAAGACTACATGTATACATTCAAAGATAGATTTCAGGAAAAACTTGCAGATAAAATTTCCTCCTTAACGAGACTGGAGTAGGTGCAGGTTAGTTTAGGAGAATTGTGTGGGCACGGATGTGTTCTCTGAGATGTTGAATGTCTCTCTTAACTTTCGACTACCGAACTAAGGTGGTATCTTCCTAGCAGAAGTGCTGGGAATCGTGAGGACCTGCGAAGCATACGAAAAGCATACATTTTCTAAGACAGCAGCTCAACGGCCGCGTCAATAGATGTCTCCCTAGTCGGCATTCCTAGCCATAGGAATATACAGTATATTTTGCTTAGCTGCACATTCTTCTTTGCACGAAAAACTTGTGCACGTAACCGAAAAAGGCACTTAAGCGAATTTTCTTTACTACTTCAATGAGGAAGGTATCCGAATCCCTATGAAACCAAATATTGGCGGAGCACTTACCATGTAGAAATTACTGCAAGCGAAATTTTTACCGAATGTTATCTAATTATCTATATAACTACATAAATTGATAGCCATTTTCGTTGTTCTGCGAGATGGGCAAAATAAATAAAAGGTTGTAAAATTAGGTAATTGTAGGGCCAGTGCAGGTAAACGTAATACTTTGATTGATAATTGATACTAGTCGCACAATTTTTAAGGCAGGTATCGCCAATGTGCAGGTATGTTGAATGCATCTATCGGAGCAGTTTCCTTATAAATGTTAAAAATAATGCTTTTGATGCGCATTTTGGGGTAGGTATCTTAAATGTGCACTTAAGCATAGAGGCAGCAAAGCAAAATATACTGTATTAACAAGGAAATTAGAGGGCTGTTGAAATTGTTAAGGCCGGAGCATCTCTTGATGAAGCAAAAGCAGAGACAATATACTATCTTCTCGGACTCAGCAAAGAGTATAACAATTAGAACTGAAACGCTAAAAGGGTCCTTCCGTACAACCTACGGTGCCGGAGCTGTGATCTCATGTAAAATAAGAAAATGGTCCAACATTATCTTTGAGAGTGCCCAGAATGATACACTAGGACTCTCCATCCAAATGATTATGTAGATTTCTTATTGCCTCCTTAGTAACACAAATAGATTCATCGACAAATCCAAGTAGTTTGCCGAAGCTGACGAATCATGAAAACAGATAACATTTGCATCCTGGACAAGTGCACAGGTGACGCTTCTACTAACCAACCAACTTTTTTGTGAATCAACCTTTTGAAGAAATATTAGTTTTAGTGTATGTAATTGTATTGCAAATGTAAATAAATAATAAATAAAAATTTTCCAAATAACTCTTCTCTAGCCTCGTTTACCATACTCAGAAAGTCCTCTCAATAATGAATCAAAATAAATATACGACTATAAATTTGATAGATACTAATTTCGTATTGGTTGTTAAGATACATACTTTTTATTTTATTTATGTTTCCTTAAATATATATAAAAACTAAATATTCGTACAAAACTTTCTTAGCCTAATATAAATTACTAAAATACTCGGAAATACATCATCTTTTTGATTTAAATCTATTAAGAATGAAGTTAAGTGGAAAGCCATACATATTTGATAGTCTAATTACCAAAGGGAATAAGTCAGCATTATTTCGATATGGAGCTCTATTGAACTGCATAAGATTTGCCATATCCGAAAAATTCTGATTTATTCTGAGAATTTCTAAGCAGTTATGGGAATAAAAAAAAAGATTTTCAGATTAAAAATTCATTATTTTTTAGTAAACAACACCTTTTATCTAAATTGGTATACCTCTTTAAGAACCCATATCAGAGCTTAGACTTAAAATCACTGAAAATTAGAAGCTTCAATAAAGAAGAGCAGCAAAAGAATATAATAAAGTAACGATTTAGGTGGCATGTCGTAAATATGTGTGCACTGCAGTCTTTGGCAAGTGTGAGCGAGCGAACCGATGCAGCAGCAGCATTACGCATTATCGTTGGCCATCACCTTGCTAATCCACGGCACAAATTTTTGTATATTCGTATAAACACCGGGTAGATGTTCACGACCACAGCCAATACCCCAAGACACCAAGCCGATTAGCGTTTTTCGGCCATCCAGCGTTAAGGTGAGCGGTCCACCAGAATCACCTTGGCATGAGTCACGGCCACCCTCTTTGTAGCCTGCGCAAAGGAAGACATCATGTATCGCTTCACGACGACCTGCAGCACGGAACCAACGCTGACAGCGATCATTTGAGAGCACCTCAACGTCCACTTCCTTAATGAGAAGAGAAGAAAAGAGGGTAAATAATTGTAATTTTTTTTTTTAATATTCCTTTTACCTGTAACACTGAGGGCACTGTGCTTTGACCATGCCGCGTGCGTCCCCAGCCAGCGACTGTCGCCATTTTGCCCACCAACTTGGTTGCTGGCGGCGGTAAACACACCGGTATTATGTGCTGTTTATATACAACATTTCGATCTAAACGAATTAGCGCCAAGTCATTTTTGAAATCTGCTGGATTGTAGTGTGGATGCACTTCTTTGCGTTCGATGCCGTATTCCTCGTGATTGAGCCGCTCTTCCTGACCACGTACATCCCACTCGCCCAGACGGATTTTCATATTCGAGTTGGCGGTGCTGGTGAAGAGGACAAATTAAAAATTCCGTATTATTTAGTATAAGGAAATAAAAAAGTATTTAAAAGGAAGTTTAGCTCCCCATTTACTGGCATGAAGTACTTAAATATTCCCTCAGCCTTAATAGGAGCTCAAAACAAATGAGGAATTTCTGAGAAAGATTTAAAAGAATAAATAAAATACAAGCACGAATACGAGATTATTTTGCAATAACCTATTCGATTCAAATTAGTCTAAGCAGAACTGGAATATTTATTGATTTTCGGAAAACCTTGCATAAAATGCTGTTATAAAACTTTACCAAGCACACCGATTTGTGGAGTCTAGATTTGGTGACTTATAATCAATTTTTACAATATAAAATACAGGATAAACTCCTGTGGAGTCGTACATCTGAAGCAGGGCCGAATTTAGGGCGGGCGAAAGGGGCGGTTGCCCTGGGCGCCAAATTGAGGGGAGCGAAAAATTCTGGGATGGAGTTTATTCTTTATTGCATACAATTTTCGAACGTGAATTTTCTTCATCGATGGGTGGGGGTCCTCGAACAAAATGCGAGAGTACTATTTATACAATGGATATGGCATTCATTGAATTACTGCCTCTTCATCCAGCACATGTATCACGATTTTTTGTATACTTCAGCGTATATATTTTCAATACTGAGCAACTACCCAGAGATGGACCATTTTCAAAAATCATGTTCACAATCTAACCGTCAAACCATTATGCACAAGGTCATTAAATATCCAGCGAAAGAAATTTAGGAAGCTTTAATAGTGATTTTTTTTTCTCTGATTTGAATTTCTCATCACCCTGGCTGGTTGGTATGAGACCCATTCCAGGATAATCTCATGAGTAAATTAATGCAGAGTAAAACCATGGATATCGTTGCAGCCACTGAGTCGATAGGAAGTTGGGATGAATTTCTATACACCTACAGAAATAAGGGCTTTGAATTTGCGGCAAAATATGCTCATCTTGCAAAAGAAGAAGATGTTCGATCATGAAAGTCAAAATGATTTTGCAATTTTAACACCAGAAGATTAATTTAGAACTGATTTTTTCGTTGTTCTAGTTGACACTGCTCTGGCTGCTGTCAAGGAAACTTTTGCAGAGGTAGCTTGTTCGCATTGGCCATCGATGGAGTCGGTAAGTGCCCTTAATGCAGACTTGTTTAGCGTCAATAGCTCTTCAGTATGACTATTGTTCATTCTAGTATTCTCCAACCCTCCTTAATAGATAAGAGACCGGTGGTAGTAGGTAGTTTCCCGCTTCGCTAGTTTGCATTTCCGAGCCGTATCTATCCATTTCGTCGGTTATTTCGTTGCCTTACTATGTCGAGGAATCCAGCAGAGAGGCGATTGGACATGATTCAGTGAGTTCTGCAATGCACAACATCCCCGAACTACTTTCGGCTTTATTATTCTGGAACATAACGTGTTGAATGCCGCCTGACAGATACTTACTATTCCGTATAAGAAAACATGCCTTTTCTGCGGCAAAGATCTCCGCCTGAAAGACACTGCCCTTATGAGGCAAGCGATATGATTACCTTATCTGCAGGCCATATACAACGTGAGCCGCCTCCTTTTTTATCGACAGTAGGCCGACTTCCTAATCTTCCCTAGTTCGAAAATATATACGAATCTTAAGACTAAAATCCAAGTATGACGTGAGGTAATGAGTTTCGACATCTAAATTGGCTTTGATTCTATTATGCCGGCAGAAATTACATATTTATCTACAGGACCGCTTTTTGCCCGAAATTGGTCTAAGTCTTAGTCTAAGAGCTCATTCGGTGGCTGCTGATGCAACGAATACTTGTTGTGGCTTCAAGTAAAATATTATGTTCAGCCCTTCTTATGGTTTGCTGCTCACGGCGCCTGATATACCGAGGCTTAAGTGGCTCTGCACTCATCCAAATATGCTCCGATTGATGCTTTTATTTAATGTTTTCCACCATACCAGCACTACTGAGGTAAAAATCGGTCGGATGACTTTGATTTACTTGACTCAGCTGCTGTGCTACTAGGCCCTTCTTTGCTATTTCCTCCACATTGCGCTTTCACGTAAGTGAGGAGTTAAGGATAATATCTCGTTGTTATACCTCGAAGGAAAGGCTCAGGCCAGCTTTGGTGACAGCTTAACGGAATTTTTGTTTTACTCGTGAACGAAACAAGTTTGCGTTTAGAATTAGATTCTATGTGCTTACCAACTGTTGACAAGAATTTGCCGGAAATTAGTTTCGCCAAGTCATAGAAAACTACCTTCATCCTCTTAACTTTAAAACTTTCTAGCAGTTTATTAAACACCAATAGCCACAGCAGGGTTAACAAGACCCCTACCTGCGGAGTTCCCCTTGTTGTTCTTCTAATCACGGACCCAATGCCTGCAGCTAAATTGATTACTCGGCTTTGAACATAGAGTCGATCTATGTCACTATATATTGCCGGATGCCGTGCCTCCTCGGGGCCCTACTAATTGCTTGCGTTTCGATGTAGTTTTAAAATATAGTATAATGTTTCCTTCGGAATAACAAATATTTCTGGATTTTTTCCCGACCGCTTCATTGCATTCATTATAATGCTTACATTTGTTAATTAAAAAAAAGTTAGTACTATGCTAAGGCAATGCCGCTTCGCTTTACTTACGTTGCCACACAATGCGCCGCAGTAACCACCCAGCGATTAGAGACAAGTGCGCCACCACAGCTAAGCTTACGCGAAAGAAATCCACTTTTGATCAGCGCCACCTGCCAGGGATGTGAACCAAAACCCGTCGAGTGACCGCCCACTATGCGATTGGAGCGCGCATACACCTCGCCACAGCCTGAAATGAAAAGAA